GGGGGCCCCTTGGGAGCGCCTCGGGGGCATCTTGGGGGCTCTTGGGGTCATCTTGGGGTGGAGGACTAGACGGGTCCGTTCGGGTTCACTCTCTTGAGGCCATCTTGGGAGCCTCTCGGGGTCGTCTTGGAGGGCCTCCAGGGCTATATTGGGGCCCTCTTGGATCGTCTTGGCTCCTCTTGGGGGCCTCTTGGGCTGTCTTGGGGCGATATTGGGGGCCTCTTGGACCGTCTTCGGCGCTTCTAATACGGAAAAGGCGATAATGTTAAAATGCTCCAAAACCTATCGGCCACTTTATTCTACAGGCTTACGCCACATCCGCCGACCCCTTCTGTTACTGTTGCGAGGCCAGGAGTTTCTGGCCAGCGGCGTCTTGTGTGAGGGTGCGGTGTCGCGCGCGGGTGGTGGCAGATACGTCGGGGGTCCAAATGTTTGCGTGATGCCGGTGGTCTGGGGCGTGTTTTGCGAGCGCCTTGCGTGCTGTGCACCCGGGGGCGGGGTGTCCTTCTGGAAGGTCGGCCTTTCGACCCGCAACCAAGTGGAGGACCACCGGAAGACGAAAGGCGCAAGAGTAGTGCGCGGAAGCTGTGATCAGCGAAGCACTACCGCGAAAGATGTGGCAGATGAGTCGAAACGAGTGAAGAGGCTGTTGACGTTCGCAGCGCGCACGAAACAGTTCGCGTGGCAGCAGCACATTAGCGCCGAGCAAGATTGTGAGCACGTCGCGAGGAAAGGCAAGGCTGCATGCGCAGAGTGCATTGCAGGTGGCTTGACGGCTCGCAATGCGGAGGCGTCTGGGGGTCTTTTGGAGGCCTCCTGGGGGCCTCTTGCGGGCTCTTTGGGGCCTCTCGGCGGCCTCTTGGGGGGCCTCTGGCGGCCGCTTGGGGCACTCTTGGGGCCCCCTGGGGCTCGTGGGGGCGGAAAGCTAAATTTTTGAATGTTTGGTTGCCCTCTTGGGCCCTTCTTGGTGCCGTCTTGGAGCCTCTTTGGGCCGTCTTTGGGACCTCTTGGACCGTCTTGGGGCCATCTTGGGCCGTCGTGGGGCCGTCTTGGGGGCCTCTGGGGCCGTCTTGGGGCGGTATTCGGGGCCTCTTGGGCCGCCTTGGGGCGTCGGAAAACCCACGAGGCGCATTTGTGACAACTATACGTTTTACGAAGGGAATGAGCAATTTTTTGCGTCTAGGGACCCTCTTGGGACGCATCTTAGAGGCCCCTTGGGGGCGTCTTGGGCCAGCTGGAGGCCATCTCGGGTGTCTTCGATCGCTCTTTGACTGTGTGGGGCCATATTGAGCTCTCTTGGAAGCCACTTGGGGCGCTCCTGGAGCGCTCTTGGGGCCGTCTTCGGGGCTCTCTTGGGCCGTCTTCGGCGCCTCTTGAGCCGTCTTGGCGCCCTCTTGGGCTGTCTTGGGGCCCTCTTGGATGCTTCTTGGACCGTCTTGGTGCGGTCTGGGGGGCCTCTTGGGCCGTCTGGGAGCGTGGGAAAGCCCAGAAGGCGAATTTTGTGAAAATTACCCTGTGGCGTACCCAACCCATTTGTATCAATGGAAACGAGGAGTTGGCCGAAACTTGTATGGACAATCAACTTGATGTGTAAGCTACTTGGGAGGCGTCACTGTGCAGGGCCCCGCAAGCAGGCCTCGAAAGTGGCGACAGTTTCACAGATCGCGGCCCCCCAGGGACGGCGAGGTCTAATTTGAAACTGCGTGTGGCGTCACTGTGCTGGGCCCCCCAGCAGGCCTCGAAAGTGGCGACAGACTCACAGATCGCAGCCCCCCAGGGATGGCGAGGTCTATTTTGAATCTGCGTGTGGGTACCCATTGTGCTTGGCCCCTCAGCAGCCCTCGAAAGTGGCGACAGTCTCACAGATCGCAGCCCCCCAGGGATGGCGAGGTCCTATTTGAGTGTGCGGTGAGTACCCACTGTGCTGGGCCCCCCAGCAGGCCTCGAACGTGGCGACAGTTTCACAGATCGCAGCCCCCCAGTGATGGCGAGGTCCAATTTGAGTCCGCGGTGAGTACCCACTGTGCTGTGCCCCTCAGCAGCCTTCGAAAGTGGCGGCGGCTTCACAGATCGCAGCCACCCCAGGGATGGCGAGGTCCCATTTGAGTTTGCAGTGAGTGCCCACTGTGCTGGGCTCCCCAGCAGGCCTCGAAAGTGGCGACAGTTTCACAGATCGCAGCCCCCCAAGGATGGCGAGGTCTAATTTGAGTTTGCCGTGAGTACCCACTGTGCTGGGCCCCCCAGCAGGCCTCGAAAGTGGCGACAGTTTCACAGATCGCAGCCCCCCAGGGATGGCGAGGTCCCATTTGAGTCTGCCGTGAGTACCCACTGTGCTGGTCCCCTCAGCAGCCCTCGAAGGTGGCGACAGTTGCACAGATCGCAGCCCCCCAGGGATGGCGAGGTCTATTTTGAATCTGCGTGTGGGTACCCATTGTGCTTGGCCCCTCAGCAGCCCTCGAAAGTGGCGACAGTTTCACAGATCGCAGCCCCCCAGGGATGG